GGGTGGGGGGCCCTGGGGGCCGTGTGTTCCAATTCATGGGGAGTGTTGAGACCGCCACACCAATAAACGCCTTTTTCCAAAGTCTCTGCTTACAGATGTCAGTGTGGTTAGGGAACCGGGTGAGTGAAGACCCAAGGGTCATTCCACGCACCACCCCAGCGACTTTCCTGCTCTCTACTTTCTCTTTGGTAGATTTGAAATTGGCCGATTAGAGAGCTGGCCCCTGACTGGTTTAAACCACTCAGCAGGGCCTCTTCCCACCATGTGATCAGCTCAGACATACTTGCTTGGGCCAATGAGAGGGTGCTCTTCTGTGGGTGGTGGGCTCCTCTAAGGCAGCTGTCCTCAACCCAGTGGAAATCTGGAGTCTGCAGGGATAGCAGTAGCCGGGAAGATATCGTGTGGAGGCTGAGATTGAACAGCACCAAGGAATGCAGAGGCTGACAATCTGAATCTCCCGGGACATGATTTGAGCAGCTGGATCAAAGTGTACCTGATGCTGTCATTCACTTACACAAGCAATAAAGTCTCGTGTGTGTACTCTTGTGTGGTGGGTTTTCTGTCTCTGGTGACCCAAAGAAAATGAAAATCTACCTGCTATCAGAGAGAGGGAAAAGGGCTTTCTACCCCAAAACTCCCAACAGTCCAGGGCTATACTCCACCCTAACTTCTAATGGGAAGTTCCCTGCCCTGTCCTGCCCCGAGACATGTGCTGGTTGTCTATACTTTATTTTCTTCCCCTTTCTTTGCTTGGGTGCACACAGAAGGGAGAGAGAGAAAAACCTGATTTTACAGGAAGGGAGCCATGCCCTCTTCCTTTTGTCTTTGGATACTGGTATGTGAAGATGTGACAAATGGAACTGCAGCAGCCATTTTACTACAGGAGGCAACATGGGGAGAAACTAAGCCATCCCACTAAAAAGTGGCAGAGCTGAAAGATTTCAAAGATTCTGGGTCCACGATGGGGCTACTGAGTCGCTGAGCCAGGATGAAGCCACCTACCTTCATATTTCTTGTCACCATTTTTGTTTCTTGCTCACTGGTGTGCCCACTCCCTAAATTCAAAACCCAGCAGAAGCAGGAAGGCACCGAGCTGGGGAGAGCACAGGCAGCCTCAGCCTTGCCTGGCACCAAAACCCCTGATCAGTCAGCGAGGCGTACTGACTGTCTGGTGTGTGCCAGGCCTGTGTTAAGTGCTCGGATAACGGTGTAGTTTGAGTCTTCGTGAACTTCTGAGGAATTACACATCTGCAGATGAGCAGGGGGACGTCCGGGGATGCCAGGACGTAACCTGCAACCCAGGTAAAGGAAAAGGTCTCCTGTGATGGGCATGGCTGCCTTGAACTTGCAAGTAAGGGAGGAGAGAAGACAGGTCTGGGAAAAGCCCTGGAGAAGCAGAGTAAGGCGGGGAGGAAGACTGTGTTGCAGAGGAGGGGTCAGTGCCAGGAAGGCGGTCACGGCCGCTGCCACAGCCAGGTCAGGAGGAGGGCTTGGGTGACACCTGACGGGGAGGCAGCTCGCAGCCCTGGAAGCCTTGAAAGAGACGACAGAGGCGATCTGATCTGCCTTCCATGATGCCTCTGGGAGCCGAGCTAGAAGCGGAGGAGAAGGGAGGCCAGGGACCTCGCCAGAGACCCGGCCAGGTTCCGCTTCCAGCGGGGAGCGGCACGGCAGGCCAGCCTGTCTGCTGCAGGGCCTCAGGTTGTGCGGGCCACGCCGCTTGGATGCACAGGTACAGGCTGAGTCTTCTCCAACCAGAGAGGAAGACGGGAAGTCTCACTTTTGGGGTCCAACTCCCAGGTGCAGCAGGCCCTACTGGAAGTCTTGGCCCCAGATGCCCAGGGCAGAGTCGGCTCCTGGTGTGGCTTCACACCCGCGTGGCTGCTCGGACAGTTTTGGGGCCCCCAGCTGGAGAGATGACCACCTGGGGGGCCTTGGGGCCGGGAGCCTGGAAGAGAGGTGGGCAGGGGTGACCTCGGACGGCAATGCGGACATGCCCTCACTCTCCCACCTCACCTTCTCCAGCCCTCGCTCAGGTCTTTCAAAACCCCCTGGTTTTCCAGGAGAAGAAAAGTGTGGAGCTACCCCTGGAGACCCAGGCAGACAACAACCCAACTTGAGAGGGGAAAGGAGGAAATTCCGTCCCGCCTTACAGAGAAAGTGTAAGTCTTGCCCAATTTTTTATGAACTACAGCCCCAGCCCTTTTAATTTTTTATTTTGAGGCAGAGTCTCACTAAGTCACTAAGATATCCAGGCTGGGTTTGAACTTATGATCCTCCTGCCTCAGCCTCCCCAGAGTGCTGCGATTATAGGTGTGTGCCACCACACCTGGATTCTGTCCAATTTATGTATTTTTAAATAAAGGGACAAGGTTTTATCACCTTTACAAATGAACAAAATAAGGAAGGGCACCGAAAACATCTCATCTCCCTAACTATGTAATAAATTCTGCCCTGTTCTGGGAGGAAACAGGGGCACGGTACTCACTGGATGGGCCCTGGCTGGGCTGGGGTCTTCCTGCAGAAATCTGAAGGGCAGCAGTTGTGGGGTCTGCACTGGGGTCACACCGTATGTCTCCTTTTCTGGTGTGGTGACCGCAGGTGCCAAGGTTGGAGGATATTTCTTTTTCAAATTAGACTTTCCTGGGAAGGAGAGGAAGAGGGAAAGAGGAACAACATCTGATTGGCTGCTCCAACATGTCGATTCAGCCAATAGTAAGGAAAGCTAGTCTGAGAGGAGGGGCCTTACTGTGATTGGCTGAGATAGAGGCAGGAAGGCAGGGCGGTGGAACTATGGCTGCACTGATTGGTTCAGCCAGGTTTCTGATTGGGCCTTTTCTGAGGATCCTCCCAGTCGGCACATCTTTCTTCCCCCAGAACTCTCACTCACCTCTACATCGCAGGAGGCAGCAGACACACAGGAGGATGAGTATGACCAGCAGGGCCAAGCCCAATAGAGAGCCCAGGACGATGCCAGCGATGGCCCCGGGACTCAGGATGGGACCTGCAAGAGACAGAAGGAACACAAGGGAGCAGGAGAGAGGCTGCATCCAAGTTTCCTAAGCGCCTAACTCATCCCAGTAGTGCAGGCCCCTGGCTCACTCCTCTCAGGACCGAGGGGTCTGCGACCCCAGCACTCAGTTCATTTAGCATTTGCTGAGTAACATCGTGTGCCTGGCACCGGCCCTGGAGCGGAGACTCCACTGATGGGCAAGACAGGCAAAGTACCCACCTCTGTGGGCATCAGCGCTGTGGCAAGAGGCAGAAATAAATGAGCAACAAGTAGCATAATTGCAGCTTGTATGAAGAAGGAAAAAATGTGCCTTAGTAGAAGTAACAGGAGGGAAGGTGAGGATTAGAAAGGGTGCGGGGACCCAGAGAAGCCACCATGGCGAACCCGGGGATGGTCCTGCAGGAAGAGGAACAGAAACACAAAGGCTCAGAGGTAGGGAGGTTTCCCCTTCTGCTGAGGACCAGTATGGGCGGAGGTCAGGGAACCAGGTGACGAGGTAGATGGTGAAATCAGGGATTAGCAGGGGCCTCCAGGAACCCAGGGGAGGCGTGGATTCTAGTGGGATGACGTCACATCCGACTTCCGCACTTGGAAGTCTACCTGGAGAATGGATTACAGGAGAGCACAGGAGTGGACAGCGACCAGGTAAATGGTGGTGGTGGTGTCAGTGTAGGCAAGAGAGGACGCTGGGCTTGACCAGGGCATTAGAGGAAAAGTAAAACGAAAATGGATTAGAAAAAGCATTTTGGAAAGCAAATTGACCAAACCTGCTGGTAACTGGCAAGGGTTGTTTTGGGAACCTGAGCGGCACCATTCAGCAGGATGGGGTGGGGGGCTTAGCCAAAGAAACATCAGGGGGTCTATTTTGGACACGTGACATTAAGATGCCAACAGGACCGCCAGGATAAAACATCGGGTAGGGAGGGACTGGCTTATCCACGGTCTGGAGTCCCAGAGAGAGCACCGGGCTGGGTAGCAGGGGACAATTCCGGCTCAGTGGCTAAGACCGGAGACCCTCTGCTATGCAGAAGCTACATCGTGTATCGAGGCGCTGATCCCCTGGACCTGTGAATGCGGCCTTACTCTGAAATGTAACCAAGTCCACACGAGGTCCTTAGCGTGGTCCCTGCCCCACGCATCCTCATCAGAAGAGGAAAGCCACCACCAGAAGCCGAAAGAGGAAAGGGAGGCTCCCACTTAGAATTCCAGAAGAGCCCGGCCCTCAGGATGCCTGGAGATCAGACTTGCGTCCTCCAGAGCTGCGACACAGTATGTTTCGGCTGTTCCAAGCCACCCAGGTCAGAGTGCACTGTCCCAGCACTACAGAGGGGACAGTACAAGAGAGGGAGAAGGGAGACCCAACCTGCCAGCCTGGAGTGACGCTTGGAGCACTACGGGAAGCCCCGGGAAAGGTGCCCACAGCCCGGCTCACCTGCCTGGTAGATTCGGGTTTGAGATGGAGTCCCCGGCTGCGGCCCCAGTAGGGGAAGGATGCGCAAAGCCCAGGTCCTGGGGCTCCCAGCGGGGAGAGACAGCACGGCTGACCGCTCCTGCGGCCCCAGGACGAGCAGGGAGATCCAGTCGCTGTAATCGGTGGTCCTGCTGCGCTCCGCCCCCTCTGCGCGGGCCTGGATTTCAAAGCGGCTGATCAGCGCCCCGCGCTCCACATCCCAGGTCAGCACTGCTGCGCCCCGGGCTCTCTGCAGCCTCCAGGAGGAAATGGAAGGGCCTGGAGGAAGAAGGGCGGGTGTTGGGGTGTACAGGGGAGCTGGCCTGGCCCGGCCCGGGGGTCTGAGGGAGGAGGGGCCTCGGCCTGGAAGGCCGGGCTTCTGGAAAGGTTTAGGCTCACCAATAAGGGTGATCTGGTCGCCCCCGGCCCCCAGCACCCCGCTGCACAGCACGGAGTAATCGCCTAGGTCCCAGTCCAGGCTGCAGTTGCCAATGAGGAGTCTGCACCCGTCCTGGCTGAGCCGCAGGCGACCCCCGCCTCCCGGAGCCAGGGGCCTGCCTTCCCGGGCCCAGGAAGGTCGGGAGGGTGGGGGACAGCCAGAGGCCCGCAGGACCACCTCTGCCTCCCCTGAGCGAGTCTCTTCCACCAGCACGTGCAGCAGCACCTCCCGGGGGGCCTCTGTAGGGGCGAAAATCCCAGTGAGAAGAATCACGCCCTAACAAGTCCGCGCCTCTCCTTAGTAGTGGAGACGCCCTGAGCTGTGGCCAGTGAGGAAGAACTTCACGTTCACTCACCCACCCACCCATTAACCCTCAGTACACACACTGAACACCTACTGCAGGCCAGGCCCTGGGCTGGCAAACTCATTATCCTCAAGTACTTTAAAAGTTAATCAGTTTCAAAACTAAAAATTTTTAAACCAAATGAATTCTTTCTCTGAATACAGGGGGAGAAAGTGACAGTCCTCGTGGAATAAATCCCGCCCCCCCCCGCCTCAGGTGTAGGAAAAACCTTGTTCTCCAGGCTCCGCCTCTTTCCTACAGTAAGGAAGCAAGCGCCCACCCCCAGCCCCGCAGGTTCCCAAGGACCAAAGAAACAATCCCCCTCCTCCTGGGCCTCAGCGGCCCCTCACCCGGGGTGACAGTGCAGGTGCGCGTGGCCACCAGGTGGCGAGCGAAGCAGGTGACGGGGACGCCGCTGAGCCGGGGGTGGGCGGGGACGGTGGCCTGGAGCACGGAGGGCGCCGGGCCCGCGCGGACGTCTTGGGGGAGACCCTGGAACTCCAGGGAGGCGGCGGGAACCCCGCCGAGCCAAGAGCAGCGGAAGCGGAGGCTGCGGTCCCTGGGATTCCCTTCGACCGAGCACTGTGGGGAGCCGGGGGGCGGATCTGCAGAGAGAGGGGCCTCCGGGGTCGGTGGTCTCGCCTTTCCGGCGTATGCCCGCCCCCGAGGCTGACCCCGCTCCTGTCCCCAGTGGCTGCCCGCTTAGCCGCAGCAGCTCTGACCTTCCTCCTTCCTAAGAAAACTGTATCCTCAGATTCTTCCAAACGTAACCCGCCCTTTCCTTTCCAGCTCCACCCCTCCGCCAGTTGCCCCGCCTCTTTTTGATGACCACGCGGAGCCGCCCCTTCTCCGGATAGCCCCGCCCCGACCTCGGTGACCCCGCCCACTCGACTTGTGGCTCCACCCCTTCGTGTGGACTCCACCCCTTCGGTCTGTGACTGAGGCCTGGGAGCTACTCCCTTTGCGGGTCACACTGGCCCAGGCAACCTAGTCCCCTTGCTACTCCCGCTCTGCCACGGAGCTGCGCTGCTTTCCTTGTTGAGAACGTCACCTGCCCGTGCATGTCCGCTTCTCCTCTTGCCGGCTCTGCCACTTCTAGGCCTTCCCGACCTTTCCACAATCTAGGGTCCCACGCTGGCCCCG